AGCTCACCAGGCAGCTAGAAAGTGGCCATGCACAGTCTGGCCTGGGTGAGTCTACACTCGCCTCTCATCGTAGTGTTCCTGGCAAGAACTTGACCCTGAGTGTGCCCTTCCTTCTGGGTTCCAAGTTGGGCTTCATCTGCTGAGCAGCCAGGTGACTTGACAGGTGACTGCCCCTCTCTGAGCCAAACCTCCCTCATCTGTGGAACAGTTCTAATGGATCTCCTTCTAAGAATGTGTGCATAGATGCATCTCCCAGGGCTCCTGACACACAATGGTACTCCACACATCTATTTACAGAAGAGTCAAGTTAGCGCTTTTCCTTGACTGTCCCATAAGCATGACGTCATCATCCGAGGGGAATGGCGGCCAACCCGGGAACCTCCATGTGTGTCTGCTTCCTGCCCTTGTGCCTTGTCTTGTCCCAGTGCCCCGTCACACTGACTTCCTGGGGCAGAAATCTCAAATGCGACCCACATCTCTTGGCGGGCTATGAAGAAGCCATTTGTTTCCTCTGCCAGCAGACCCCTCTGCCCGGGATGAGGGGACTAGCCATGTGGCGGCTGCAGAGCTGATGCGGAAATCCTCGTTAGCTGCAGTTTAATTACTGCCTGCAGTATAGGTTTGTAATAACAGTAAGTCCCAATTAGTTGCTTGTTACTTCAGAAATAATTACTGATAGTGGCCCTTTGTCTTTGTTTTAACTCCAGCTTCGCTCCCAAGCTGCAGAGTCTAAATGAGTGGGCATTTGTAGCTGAAAGAGTTGGGGCTCTGGAGTGCTTGCATGCAACTGTAGGTTTAGCCGGGTACATGTGTCTGCTGAGACAGGTGGAGGCCATTTCTCACCCCTGAAGACACCTGTGCGGAGAAACACCTGAGCCTGTATCTGGACCTGGAGACAGAGCTGGGTCCTGCTCTCAAGGGCAGGTGAATCTGGGCCATGCCACCAGCAACGCAGAGAGACCACTGAGCTGCTGGCCTCTGGTTACGAGCCATCCGTGATGTCCCCTCTGCTGCTCTAGGGGCCAGGCCTCAGCCACTGAGCAGGGCAGGGCCGGCTCTGCCACCCTCTGACAGCACCAGGCCCAGCCAGATGGAAGAGCTGTTTTCAGGTGCAGGGAGGGGATGAGCTGTTTCCTCCATGAGGGCAGAGCCCCAGCCTCAGCCACGTGTCTGATCTGCAGTCCGACGGGGACCTGCTACCACACCGAGGAGAACGTGGACATGCTCGGGGGACCTCAGAGCTCGCGCTGCACTTGCGACCCCCACGGTGGGTGGCCATCTGTGCACTCTCGGAGCTGTATACAGGTAGGGCGGTCACAGGACTCTGTTCAAAGCAAGACAGTCTCCCAACTTCAGAGACTTCTTCTTGGGTCCGGCCCGCTTTCATGCTGCTTTTCTTCTGTAACTTTTAACCTACCGCACTGGGAGGCCCCCTGAGGGGGTGCGTGGCTGTCGGTGACTTTGCACGGTGATCGGAGCTAACAGAGGTCGGGCACAGTCTACAGGCCACATGGGCTTTTCTGTGATTTACATGTATTTACTCGTTTAATCATCGCGGTCAGCTCTCTGAGGTCAGTGTAATTATCAGGCCAACTCCAGGCCCTAATGGCTAAGGCAGCCAGACTCTAAACAGCCAAGCGTGTGGTTCGAGAGCTGGACCTGGAAACTTGAGAAACACGCCTGGCACGTGTCCAGGTGAACCTCCTGGAAGGAGGGAGAGACGGAGAAGGGATTGTGGCATGACCTTGCCACATGGTGTGGGGGCAGTGCTTTCTCTTTTCTCGGTCCTTTTCTCGGTCTCTCTATTTCTTTCTGACAAGTGCATGCACCCTCCAGCCAAAGAAATAATTGTCACCCCTAACTTGCAGATAAGAAAACTGAGACACACAGAACGGTAACTAATTTGCCCAAAGCCACTCAGCCCTTAAGCAGCGGAGCTAGGGGGATTCCTTACCAGGTGGTTTGTCTCCACAGCCAAGTTTTGTTTTGTTTCGTTTTGTTTGAGAGATTTTTGCTATATGGTGTGTGTGCTCACTAGAGAGACAGAGAGAGACAAAGAGACAGAAAGCAAGAAGTCACCACCCACTCCACCCTCCCCCAGGGGGAATGACCACACTGCAATCCCTTCTCCTTCATTCTCCTCTCGGGATTTTGGACATGTATGCTCATGCACTCGGCATGAGTTTCAAGTTGCCAGATCCAGGACTCGAACTATAGTCGACTACATGGGAATCCAGCACCTTAACCACTATGCCACTTGCTGGTCCCCACAACCATGTTTTGACCAAGGTTTCAGGAGAGGGATTGGACCACTTAGAGAACAGGAAACATCGCAATGCAAATACCCCCTCGTCTGCCCCGATTTTTCTTCAGTTGGCACTGAATAATATATCCTTTCATGGCTAGCTTTTGTAAGGGGGTTGTGGTTTTTATATTGTGTTTTGTTTGGTTTGGTACGTCTTGTGTTGATTTTTGGTTCCAACTATGTTCTCTGAAAGCGTCTCTCCTTTTGGACTCTCCAGGGAGGCTCCAGCTAGATGCTTCTGTTCTTAGTGCTCATCAGTTTCCATGATGAATGGAATGGCAGGAGAGCTTTGGAACTGGGTCCAGAGCTGTGACTCAGGCCACCCTCATTTGGAGGTGACAAAAGCCCTCTTGGCCATCATGCTGGCCAGCTCTCAGGCCTTTTCTTTGTGCATTGTCCGTCTTCTCTTAATGCCCAACTCATCAAGGGAAGAAGACTGCTGAGCCAGCCATTCGCCTTTTGCCACCATGTTCCTGGTCTCTTTCCTCCCTGAGAATCCTTTCCAAGGAAACAATAAATGGCTTGGCTGGAGGAACCCTCTGAAAACCCATCCGTGCTATGTTTTCCTTCTTACCTCCTGTTAGTCTTATCCGTGGGGCCAAACCACGATGTTGTCTTACTGCTAGTAATCTGGGCTCTTCTGTGTTTGGAAATTCATTTGAAAAATTGTGTCTACAAGGCAGAAATGCTCCACTTCATCCCAGACACAAAGGAGTCCTTCAAAGGTGCAAAGCATTCAGGATTAAGTAAGTGAGCAAACAGGCCCGACCTTTGAGCAGAGGAGTGTGGAGGGCTGGAGAGAAAGAACACTGCCTCGTAAACAGCGCCTTGGTTTATTTAGACAAGGGCAGCTTGTTTGTGTTTATTTGATGCTCGTGTCTGAGAGTGTGGAGAAATGCTCCTGGAATCTTGTCCAGAGGCCTCCAGGCTCTGGCCAGAACCCCTCGCTGGCCAGGCATTGCAGTGGGACTGAGGGGCCATCCTGTCTGAGAGGCAGTATGGGGAGACCCTGTCGGTCCCTTTATTCAGTTACTGGGAGCTTTCCCTTCCAGCGGAGGTGTGAGGTGTGCCTCGCCTCTCCAGCTCTCCCCCAGCAGCATCTGTAGGAAAATCTCAATATCCAAAGAGCATATCCCCTGCTCCCCACTCTCAGTGTGGCATTGCATCCCTGCCTCAGTTGGGGTCCCGAGGAAAGGATGTCTGGGCACATGGACTGTTTGGGACGCAATTCTAGGAAACATGGGGGGTGAGACCAAGTGAGGAGAAAGCCGATGAATGGCTTAGCGACAGACAGGTCCCATAACCGTCACCTTCCCGTCTCCAGGGCACCTGCTGAGGGGCTGTGTGGACACACTTTCTGGGGGTCCCACTGAGGGGTGAGGAAGCGGGGTGCTCTTCCACCAGCTCCCATGCTCTCTCCTGGAGCATGAGCACCTCAGCACTCTGGCCTGTCCTGTTTGTGTACCCCGTCTCTTAGAGAGAAGACTCCCCCAGACAGGGACACCATCCCCGCTGTGGGTGACGTCCAGCTTAGGTCAAGAGCGGGTGCCTGAGTGTGAGCAGCATCTGCTAAAGCCACCAGCAGCTCTGACTCTGAGTGTCGGGGAAATAACGACGGCCGCTGTGTACCTGGAACCTCTAGCCAGTGTGTGCTCAGCTCACTGAGAGCCATGCTGGCGTCGTCTGCAGTGTGGCCTTGTGGCTAGGAGCGTGGGTTCTAGAGCTGGGCTCCCATTTCCTCTTTTGCAGCCCTGTGACTGGGCAAGTTATTTAGCCTCTGCGCCTCATCTTCCAGGCCTACAGAACGGGGCGAGAATAGTGCCCAAACTCATGGGGTCACTTCTGAAGCTCAAACAAGTTAGTGCCCATGGGAGACTTCAGCTGTGGCTGGCATGGAGTAGGTGTTTGGTGAACGCTAGCTGTTATTCTGCAGACGAAGAAACCGAAGCCCAGGACGAGGCAGGGGTTGATACTGTGAGCTGAGGTCAGACACCCACCAGATGGAGGCCGGGCTGCACCTCGGGGTTCTGCATCCACAGTCGCCGTGTTTTCCTGCTGTGCCCAAGACTTTGTCATCATTCACAGGTGAGAGAGCACTCGCCACCCGGCCCGTGCTCCGCAAAGCGGTGGCTATGTGCTGGCTACTTCCCAGTCCTTGTAGCGACAGATACCGCCTTGGTCTGGTCTGTGAATTCTGTGATCTGTCATCTCTGTAGAGCTGGCTGTGGGCACAGCGTCGGTGGGATGTCCATGAAGTGGATGAGTCACCCAAGGCCTCGGGGCTGGCCCCACTGACACTGTTTTTCAAGCTCCCATCTTGGAACTTTGGCTCAAGTCGGGCCCTATCTGTCACAGTCCCCGCACGCTGCTTCTCCCTCCTCCTGGGCACCTGTACATGCTGGCCAGAGCTGCCGCCCTGCCTGCCCGACCCTCATTCTGCCCGCCCCCCCAATTATCCACACACCAGCCCTGACTCGGGGGATCCTTGTCTAGCTTCCTGCCAGCCCCACAGACCTCCTCCTGGGCTCAGAACTGCCCTGTGCTTGCTCCCTGTTGAATGTCGCTCCTGTGGTGTGAGTCTGGGCAAGAATTATTTTATCTAACTTCATTTATTTATTTATTTTTTAATTTGACCAGAGAGGGATGGAGTGAGAGAGAGAGGGAAAGTGAGAAAGCAAGCCACCAGGTCTGGGACTCGAACCACGGTCCGCCGTGTGGGAATCCAATGCCCTTAACCACCATGCTACCTTCTGGTCCCGTTGACTCACTTATTTGTCCATCGTGGTACCAGGCACTGCATCTCACCAGGCAACGGGACAGTAGGAACTCACACAACGAGACTGGCCACTGCTGGAGGAGCCCAGTGTAGGGGAGATGGCCTGGAGACATTTTTAATAGAACAATGAGTCTTGATGGGACACAGAGCTAAGGTCCTCTGAGAACAGGGCCCACTCTCTCTCCATGCAATGGAGTCAGAGATGAGTTGGCCTCAGAGCTCAGCTCTTAGCTTAAGGATCATTTGGTTACTAAGGAAAGAAACCCACTCAAGCCAAGTGAAGGGAAAGTGGCGGGGGAGGGGGGGAATGGGGTGGGAGGGGCTAGATGGTGAATGAATACACGGGGTCTTGGGAAAACAAAGAGCACAAATGTCCCCCTAGGAACTGGAGAGTGGCCAGGAGAGTCAGTGTCTGCCCTGGTCCTCTTCTCACGCCTTCCTCCTGCATGTGACCCCACTTGGCCTCACTCTGGGCCTAGGTGACCTCCCTGCCTCACAGTGCCCCATGGTCTCTCTGTCTGGTTTCCCCTGCCTGTGCCACTCTGATCAGCCCAGCTTAGGGCAGGGGCATGCCTGCCCTCTTCAAGGAACAGCAAGGAAAAGGTGGCTGGGGAGGATGGGCAAGACGTGGATACAGGGTCAAGGGTGGTGGAGCCAGATCACTTGGGACTTCGGAAGCCCTGATACAATGCAACTTCTGCTCCCAGGAGATGATGGGGGTTGTGTGTCAGGGAAGTGCTTTGGATGGTTTTTAGCAGAGGAGCAAGTTAAGCTGACTTAAATGATTTAAGAGGATTAATCTCCGAGAGATGGGTGGCCGGAGGAGGGGTAGTGGAAAGAAGGCTATTGCAGCATCAGGATGGAAGACGGCATTGCCTCTCGCTGGGGGGAGCAACGGAGTGGCTGGGCATGGTCAGATTCTGGGGTGTGTGTGCATGCGTGTGCATGCACACGTGTGTGTAACGTTCTGTGAGAATGTGAGAAATCGCTCCCTGGCAGGGATGGCCATGCTGCAATCCCTTCTCCAATCTCCTCTTGGGATTTGGAGCAGGCTGACACATTGGTCCAATGTGATTTTCAAGCCGCCAGGTCTAGGACTTGAACTACACAGTTGGCCACGTGGGATCCAGTGCCTTAACCTCCATGCCACCTGCTGGCCTCTGAATGTATTTTAAAAGTAGAGGTGATAGGATTTGCCAAAGACTGCATGTGGAGTATGAGGAGAGCCACCAATGCCTCTGGGGTGCAGGGCCTGAGCCGCCGGAGACACTGCAGGGTCAGGAGAGCAGACCACGTGGGGAGTTCGGGGCCCTGTGAGTTATCACAGTTTGGGTCATGTTCACTGTGAACCTTTGCGCCCAAACTCACAGCAGCCCCGTGAGGTGGGTTCTTTATCCCCACTCCCCATTTTACAGGTGAAGAAACTAGGGTACTAAAAATTAATTAACTCACCCAAGGCCTCCTGGTTGGTGAGTCACAGAGCTGGGACGGGGCCCAGGCAGCCTGTGTCCAGGCTTGTGGACCTAACTGTGACACAGGACAGTGACTCCCTTTTTGAGAGGACCAGGGGAAGGGACAGAGCAAGGGATATTTATTTAGGAAAAACGACCCCCCAGGTGCTGCTCATTTCTCACCCAGCCACCCCACTGGCCCCTAGACTGACCTGGATCTTTTGGTCTTTGTGGGGCAGTCTTGGTGGTCCAGCCCAGCTCCGTGTGATCCTCCCGGGAGGAGTAGAGGGGGCCTCGTCCACACTGGTCCTGCGTGTCTGTACTGCTTCCTCTGTTAGGGGAATGCAGGCTTTGTTTCTGTCCGCTAAACATCTACAGTAGAAAACAAAAATGACGGGGTACAAATGTTTAAATTTCTGGGTCCCAAACCATTTCTAAATATTACTTTTTAAAACAGAAAAGAGGCCTAGGCTTGGCTTAGCTGAGAAGGCCTGCCCAAGGGGTGGGAAAACGTGGGGAGGGAAAGGGCCTCTGCCAACCCCCCACAAGCCGCCTGGCACAGGCAGCCAGTGGCCAACCTCCTGCCTTATTTGCCTGGGGAGGCCTCCTTCCAGACACTGCCTTTTTCTAAGGGCTTCTAGTAAGGCACCTGCAAAATGGGTCATTTCTTTGCTTAGCTCAGCAGATTTCAGATTTGGATGGTCTTAGGATTCAAGGCCCAGAGCAGACTCTGGGCCTGGCTTGTGTCGTTTCCCAGGATCCAGGACACTCTATTCTAGGCTGTCCCATGCAACCTGCCTCTCTCCTTGGTGACTGGCAAGTTATTTCAGGAAGCCCAGAGCCCAGGGGGAATCACACCAGCTCAGTCCAGGGCTGAAGGTGAGAGGTCTGCATTCAGTTCTGGTTTCCAGCGCCGTAATTTTACCTGAGTCCCACTAAAGTACTCAGAATTACTCAGAAGCAGTAAGGCAGTGATCTCGGGGAGCCAGGCGGGGGGGGGGGGCCGGGTTGCTTTA